GTTGGCGAATAAGACTTGTCCAAGGGAATTGCAAAGAGGGAGACAGGAGAGATAGAAAGTGCTCTGTTCAATGTAGATAAAATTCAACATCGCTAGACCAGCTTGCATAATGTTACGGCCGCTGGTAAAGTCCACCTCGTATGTCCTATATTCGCGCTCACGCGAATCTGGTTCCAACTGGTCAGTGGGACATCGAAAAAGACTGTTATCTGATGCCCCGCTGCCTTATATGATACGACGTACACCTTGATGGGCCATGACGGTCGCCTTTTCGCATATCGGCCAGGCTCGCCGATGCAGAAAAATGGAAAAACAAAATAAAACAAAAACCCACACGGCCAACCTAGTGGCAAGTAATACCCTCTGAGCGGCTCCTGTCATGCCATTCTCTCATGCGGTGGGATCAGCTTGCACAGAAATTTCCAGAACAGGGGATAGTTGTCGAAACTGCAAACTGGAAGCGACGATGTGCTACTTTTGAGGCCGCCGTGGGCCTGGAAAAGGCTCAAAAGTGCGCAGCTTTTGTGGTTGTTTCCTCTCGTCGATGCCGCCAGCACTTTGACGTAGCCGACTCGTCCTGAATTGATCAACGATCAGAGGCTGCTTCGCCGTTCTCTGGTTGGCCGCCTGGCCTCGGTCCCTTTCTCTCTTCGCCCTGTTTCGGTGTAGACAAAGAATTCTTAGTGCACCTGCCGGGAAGACAGGTAGCCGGGCCAGCGTCACATCCGGGTGTCGAGCACTCCGTATTGGTGCTCTCACAGTTGCCGTACAGGGAAGTCGAGGGCCAATAACACCGGGCAACTCTCGTCACCGTTTGCCACCTTCCCTTTCCATGCACTAAATCCATTTTACCAATTTTTTATCGAATAAATTTTATTCATCGTCGACTCTCCTACCAGACCATTATTCTATTTTATTTTTCGTACTCTTTGTGTCTAGAAGTACTTCTCACCTCGTAACAGCCCCATCGGAAGATTCCGCTGCAGTTTGCGGTTCTCGGCTCTCAATTGTTACAACTCACGACGTATGTCTTTTATTGATAAACCTTGCGGCGTAACTTTGCATTCTTTTGTCGACTCGATCGTTTTATTTCTTCACCTGCATTCTTGCACTGGCGAGGAAAGAGCAACAACACCTCCTTCCTCAGGGCATCGTCATCGTGACTTTTAGCCAGTTTCCAACCTTTTCCAACCTCGTCGGCTGACTCTCTCATCGTTTACCACACCCACATCACTTGTGTGATAAACCACTGCCCCCCCTTGTCGAAGTGTCTCTCGTCTTTCTCATTCCTCTGCCTGCTCATTTTCTTGAACACGGTCGCACCACAAAACACAGTTTCAGTAACCACCCTCGTTGCCAACAGCTTGTTCACTCCTTGGGCTGTCCTCATCATGAACCGCCCGTCACGCACCGACGAGCCGCCGCGCAGCGATGGCCTGAACCAAAGCCCCAACGAGCTGTCGAATGACCTCACCACCAACGAGGACCTTAACGGCACGGCCAATTCCCGCCGGTTCAGACGCTCCGTCTCCCCTCACGACCTACAGGCCGGTCTTCCTGGAGAAACAAATCGATTCGGGATCGCTGTCGACAATCCAGACGACCCTGGCTACCAGAAGACAGCCGCTGCGGGGCCGATTACCACCCGGGTCGACTCCGTGGCCTCGGCGCGACGGCCGAGCCAAAGCAGTGTTCCGCCCAACAGCGACGGTGGGGCACTCCAAGCGGGTGGACATGGCGACGGAAACCGGCGCCAGGGTCCCTTCTGGAAGGTCGTCTCTAGTCTTAGGACGGCTATTCGATTTGTCGGACCGGGCTTCATCGTGTCTGTCGCATACAGTAAGTACTTGTTGTCTGGGCCCATCGTATTTATATATATACGTGTATATCGGCATCTCTAACTGTCTCTAGTCGACCCCGGCAACTACTCAACTGACATCGCGGCTGGTGCTTCGTACCGTTACAAGCTGCTTTTCGTCGTGCTGATGAGCAACTGCTTTGCCATTTACCTGCAGAGCATGTGCATCAAGCTGGGGACCGTCAGCGGCCGCAACCTTGCTGCCGCCTGCCGCGCATTCCTTCCGCGCTGGCTCAATATTAGCCTGTACATCCTTGCCGAAGTCGCCATCATCGCCACCGACATCGCTGAGGTCATCGGTACGGCCATTGCTCTGAACCTGTTGCAGCCCAAGATCCCGCTCGTGGCCGGATGCGCCATCTCGATTGTTGATGTGTTCATTGTGCTCCTCTTCTGCAAACCTGAAAATGGCACACGCAGCGGCTTGCGCGCCTTTGAGCTCATTGTCGTTCCACTGGTGCTCGGCGTCGTCATTTGCTTCTGTATCCAGCTGTCCATGATTGACCACACCACAACCAGTGTCGGCGAGGTGTTTCGCGGCTATTTGCCATCGGCAGCCGTCATTGAGCAGCAGGGCCTGTACCAGGCCTGCGGCATCTTGGGTGCCACGGTGATGCCTCACAGCCTGTATCTGGGCTCGGGCATTGTGCAGGCACGGCTGCGCGAGTACGACGAGAAGTACGGCCTCCTTCCACCCGAAGAGGACCAGCAACCGCAAATGGTCGAGCGCGAGGCTGATGACGAAGCATCGGACAACGACAACGGCCGCCATGGCAACCGCACCCTCTCGTCCCTTCGGCAGCAGTTCTACCTTGCCAAGAAGCACACCGAAGACCGGTCCCAAACGCACACGTACATCCCCTCGCTGCGGGCCATCCGCCACTGCTACAAGTACTCGGTTGTTGAGGTCGCCGTCTCGCTCTTTACCTATGCCCTCTTTGTCAACTCGGCCATTCTCATCGTGGCTGGTGCTGCGCTCTACCAGAACACCATCGCCATGGGTGCCGACATCTTTGCTGTCCACGAACTCCTGTCGAATACGCTGTCCAAGGCGGCTGGTTTTGTCTTTGCGCTTGCCCTCTTGTTGTCAGGCCTCTCGGCCGGTGTCGTCTGCACCGTGGCTGGCCAGATGGTCTGCGAAGGCGCCTTGCAGTGGACGATTGCGCCCTGGCTACGGCGCCTGCTGACGCGGTCCATTAGCATCCTGCCGAGCATCGTCATCGCGGGTGCTGTTGGGCGCGACGGGCTGGACGCCGCTCTCAATGCCTCGCAGGTTGTGCTGAGCATTGTGCTTCCGTTTGTCACAGCACCTTTGCTTTGGTTCACATCGTTTGACAAGTACATGACCGTGCAGCCCGGTGCCGCCCGCTTTGCGCTGCGTGTGCGGTACCGCAAGACAGCGAGCAGTACGAGCGACATTGGCAATGTAAACCAAAACCAAGGCACTCCCGACGGCGAGGAGGGTGACCCGCGTGGCAACGAGGCCCCTGCCAAGATGGCCAACTCGTGGCCCACGGCCATCCTGGGTCTTGCGATCTGGATATTCATCACGGTTTTGAACATTGCGAATCTGGTTCTTCTCGGCAAGGGCAACTAACACAAGCACGTCAAAATCATACGCTGGACATAAAACGATGCTGCCGTTTTGGATATATGGACATTTTAAGAAGAACCCTACATGGGAAATGCCAGTACATGATGTTTTTTTTGTCAACTTACTGGACTTGGCCCCAAAAATATTTGCAGTGTTCATAGAATAAAATAAAACATCAGTATTAGGCCTTCACTTGTACCTCGTCAAATTGTATTGTCACATGGTTTTCCTCTTGGAGAACTCCGTTTGTTACTTGTAACAAGAGCCATAGCAAGCGCATTCGTCCGCTTGTATAACTTCCTCTAAACAGCCGATACAAATGACTTGACAGGTGAAGGTGATATCATGTCTGCTCCTGCCTTGTTGACCATGGCACAGGTTAGAAGTGGCGCTGTCACAATTGGAAAGAACAACCAGGATGCGTCATAATGTTGTATCATATGTGGCAGCGCGAGGAAAGAGCCATCCTTGACCTGCCGCCTGTTCAGTGTTTCCCTGAAACAATTCCCCTATTTGATATTATCACAAACCGGTTATGTTCTCTCACTTTTCAACTCTTCCCACAGCATATTGTCTGACTTTACGAACTCCGCTCGCTTCACAATATGTGGCACCCTTTCTCCAAGTGAGTGGTCCGTTGCGAGCCATGGTTCTCGTGCTGGGGAACACCGCATGCAAGATACGCGACAAAAACTGCCATTGTCACAACAATGGAGGCACATCGGTCAGACTTCTTTGAGTGTGTGCGTCACCATGTGCACCTCTATTGAATCATTTTTGTGTACTCTCCCTTGAAGGATGTGTGGCCGGTAGGTCAAAGCAAAAGCAGACATAATCTGGGGCACCCTGCAGAACCACACCTCAACTGTAAACAAAATCAGCGGTGAGCATATCCCAACATCCCAACCCCTGTGTTGTTTTTTTGAAAACGAACCACGAAAAGCGCCTGGTCATTTCGCAAAGAAACACAAGTCGCTGACGGCTGATACGTGTTTCCAGACCTGGGAATGGTCTTCGCCGAGCCCGACAACCTCATAAGACGGGAGAGACTACGGGTGCGACACTCGGCTCGGAGAGGACAAACGACTTGTGACACGCGATGGCAAACAGAATTGATGAACCAGCTTCGCAGCCCGGCTGACCTCAATTGAACACCCAAAGGTGAGCCCGGAAACACCCCTAAGGAGCTCCGAGGCACTGTGGTATCCAGAATGGAGGAGCCTAGAGCCGGAGAAGGCTAGCTCACAGGCCAATCTCAGCCACTGGTGTAAGCGACTCATACCTCCTTTCCCCAACATTTTACACCAATTCCCGTCGATAGCTCCCCCGATAAAGCGGAGCCAGCTTGTTTAAGAGGTAGCTTGACAATAGCTAGCTGCTTCGGTTTCACAGTGTCGTCATGTCATAAAACGTCCACACGCCTCTCCAACTACAAAGCTTTGTTCACTACGGCCGGATCAATTCATCTTCAAAGTAGATCGTCACATTTATTCGAAAACCGCCAATTTGCACACAAGACATCCCAGCTGACGGAGAGCATATCCAAATATGGCCGATGACCAGCGAGGCCGGGGACGTGGCCGTGGAGGCGGTGACCGTGGTGATCGTGCTGGTCGCCGAGGCCGCGGTCGCGGGGGTGGAGGCGGACAAACAAGCAACCCAGCAGCCGATGTAGGCGGGCCTGCACCTGCGAGGGGCGGTGGTAGAGGCGGCAGGGGCGGAGAGGGACACCGTGGCAGCGATCGTGGTAGTCGTGAAGGTGGCCGAGGCCGAGATAGTGACTTCGGTGGTCATCGTGGAGACTTCCGTGGCGGAAGTGACCGTGGACGTGGCGGAGGTGACCGCGGGGGTCAGTACAGAGGGCGCGGCGGCGGCGGCCAGTTTGATGTCAGCATGCGCGGTGGTCGAGGCAGCCGTGGCGGTTACGGTGGTCGTGGAGGTGGTAGCCACAGCCAGATCACAGGGCCATTTGCGTGAGTATCTGTCCCCCTTACCCTGGACAGCGAACGCACATTCGGCTTTCGAGTCTAACATCCCTTGAAGGTACAAAAACAAGGCAACCCCACACCCTGACCAGAGTATCGTCAAGCTCGAGGACCAGCTTATGGAAGCCTCGTTGGGCGACGGGAAGCAGGAATCAGTGGCCGCAGACAAGTTCCGCTTCCCGCACCGGCCGTCGTACGGCCGCGAGGGCAAGCCAATCGAGGTTTGGGCTAACTACTTTGAGCTGGGCATCGCCAAAATGCCATCTCTATTTCTTTATACGTTCCATGTGCACAAGGGGCGGCCGCCTTCGGATGACAACGCAAGCACTTCCGCAACCAGCCAACAGGGCGTCAAGATCAAAGGGCCATTTTTGCGCAAGTTGCTTAAGCATATTCTGGAGACAGTCTTGGACGTGCCAGGACTGTCACCCCGGACCGAGCTTCAGAGCAAGTTAATCACGCTCCAGCGCATCTCTCAGGAAACTATCGATCGCCTAAAGGACACCCATTTTAACGGCGACCATTTTGAAGTGGAGTTGGATGGGCCGCACACACTCGACCTGGACAGTCTCCGGACGTGGCTTGGCACCATGCACGACGGGCGCGACGCGCAAGATCTGAGCTTCCCCAAGTTCCAAAATCTGATGGATGCCATTGGCATTATTATGGGCCATGGCCCCCGAATGGGTGGCTCTAACCTCCACGAGGACAACCCACGCACAGTGGCCGTCGGCCGCAGTCGCTTTTTCCCAGTCGACGAGACGAGAGAGGCCGAGCTTTTCCAGCGATCGCGGCCCCTCGAGATTCTGCGCGGCTACTTCCAGAGCGTACGGCCTTCTACAGGACGGCTGCTCCTCAATGTCAACGTCACTCACAGCGTATTCCGCTCCTCCCGGGAGCGGCCGTTCTTTGAGCTTTTCCGGGACTGCCATTTTCGCGACCTTGAGCAGTCGTTGAAGGGCGCGCGCGTCCGCATCACCTACCCGGACCTGTCCCACGAGGAGTACACCGTGTCTGGGTTTGCGATGAAGCCCGGCGGTGGTGCTGGCTATGGCGAGACCCGGTTCAAGAAGATCAGCGAGGTCACGTTCACACTGAACGAGCCTGGTTCGGGCTCGTCTAAGAAGAGGGGCGGAAAAAAGACTGCTGCGCAAAGGCCCACCGGCAAGCAGATCACTGTCCGGGACTACTTGAAGGACAGTAAGTTTTCATCGCCAGTTCAGTGATTGGGGGTCGAATACGTGCGTTTTTTTTGCTAACATGTGCTGCTAGAATTTAACGCGGGCAACCTTGCGGACACGATTGCCGTTAATGTTGGCAAGAGTCAGAGCAATCCCGTATTCTATCCGGCCTCGTGGTGCTCTCTACTACCTGGACAGCCTTGGAACCGCAAGCTGTCTGGCGATGATACCTCGTCGATGATCAAATTTGCATGCCGCCGGCCCGAATTAAATGCCAAGTCCATTGTGAGTGTCGGGCGCCAGGCTCTCCAACTGGACAACCTCGACGCCTCGTTCAAGGACTACCGCATCACGGTCGGCGACAAGCTTATCACGGTCGATGCCAGAGTCTTGCCTGCCCCTGATCTGGTCTACGGGAAGAAGTTCAAGATGGCGCCGCAGCGCGGGTCCTGGAACCTGGCATCGCGCGAGCTGGCTCAGGGCGGCTCAAATAATATGGACAACGTCAAGTGGGCGTACTACGAGATGCCCGGATCTCGTGGTGACGTGAGATCAGTCATGGACTCGTTCATGACCGCACTGAAGGCACTCGGCGTTCCAGTGAGTGAGGCGCCGCTTCAGCTTGGACGACAGGGAGACTACAGCATGTTCGACACGCGCACATTCGACGGAAAAGACGATGCGATTGATGCCGCCTTCCGGCGTGCTGTCCAGAGCGCACCCAAGCCCAAGATCATCTTGTTTGTTCTGGCCGACAACGACAAGTACGTGTACGAGCGCATCAAGCTGCTCGGTGACACGGTGTTTGGCATTCACTCGGTGTGCGTAGTATCGCAAAAGTTCACTAGAAATGACGCTCAATACTTTGCCAACGTGGCACTCAAATTCAACCTCAAGCTCGGTGGCGTCAACCACAGACTCGACAAGCCGGACAAGCTGGGCATCATCTCGAAGGGCCAGACTATGGTTGTTGGGTACGACATCATCCACCCAACGAACTTGGGCGCCGGAAAAGATGTGCAGGACTTGCCCAGCCATGTCGGACTCGTGGCCAGCATCGACAAAGACCTCGCGCAGTGGCCGGCGTGTCAGTGGAGCCAGACTGGTCGCCAGGAAATGACGTCGGATGAACTGACGGAGGCTTTCAAGTCTCGTCTGGAGCGCTGGCGCGAGCACAATGGTGCGTACCCGGACAATATTCTGGTGTACCGCGATGGCGTCTCCGAGGGACAGTTCGAGCAGGTACTGGACACCGAGCTGCCGAAGATGAAGACGGCGCTCAAGAACGTCGACCAGTCGAAGACGAAAATCACGATTGTCATCTCGGTGAAGCGGCACAACACACGCTTCTTCCCGACCAAGGCAGAAGACATGTCCCGGTCGGGCAACATTGAATGCGGCACGGTGGTGGACCGCGGCATCACGCTGCAGCGCTACTGGGACTTCTTCCTCACAGCACACACGGCTATCCAGGGAACAGCACGCCCGGCACGGTACACGGTGATCTACGACGAGATCTTCCAGAGCCGCGGCGGCGACCCCAGCATGTCGACGGGCGAGCTCGAGAAGATCACGTACAACATGTGCTACCTGTTCAGCCGGGCGACCAAGTCGGTCAGCATCTGCCCCCCGGCATACTATGCAGACCTCGTGTGCACGCGGGCACGGCTGTACCAGAGCAAGCTATTCAACCAGGCCATGGAGGGGTCGGGTTCGGAGCCGGCGGACCGGGTGTTCCCGCAGGTGCACCCCGACGTGCGCCGCGACATGTACTACATCTAAGGGGAGAGGTGTGGGAGACAGGAGATGGACATTGATGTTGCCCAGAATGATTATACGTTGCGTAACATACTTGGATTTCACGCCCAGATTTAATTTGCTTAGCATGTGTCTCAATTACCATTGGATTTGTGTTGGCTTAATTTTGTCTTTCCCACTTGGTACCATGTCATATTGAGCCATGTCATATCATCAAAACCGGACACTAGCCACAGACTTACTGCGTATCGGCGGGCGGCATCATCCATGCCAGCCGTTGCTGTGGCCGAGGCCCTTTATCCCCAGCCGGACCCAGGTTCGCGCTACTATCATCGCCCTCGTCACCATGGTCACATACACCGACAGGATCGACGATAACGAACCGCAGAGCCCAGTTGCGTACCCGGGCCGTCTTGGCAAGAAGCTGCAGGTCAGCCGGATAGGAGGCGCCGGCCTGTGTACTGGTGGGCACCTGCGCCGCTGCCGCAAGATGGGCTGACGAGAAGAGTGCATCGTGTGCCGGCTCTGGTTGCAGAAGGCCGCCACGGTGCAGAATGTGCATCTTGGTCTGGTCCTTGCGCAGGCTGCTTCCATACACCTTGTCGCCAAAAACGTGGAGGGCAACGTGCCGCAAGAGAACGACATCGTGGGGTGCCAGGGTCGGAAGAAGCATTGCCAGTGACGACGGGCCGGCCGACTGAGCTCCATCCATCCAGACGGTCATGCCAAACCCGGATCGTGTCTCATCCCCGACTACGAGCTCCACCAGGGACGTTGGCGGGCGGTCCCGACGGCGACTGTTGGTGGTGTTGCCGACCACCCGAGGCACGCCCACAGACACAATGGCCACCACAAGGTTGACCGTCACCGTTTGTGGTGCCATGCGCCGCAGGTACGCCGCGCTGGGCACGTCGGCCAGGTGTGTTAGGGGCTGCCAGCGGGGTATGTCGGCTGGAAGCGGCGGGAGGCGTGACGCCGAAAACGAGAGCGGCTCGGGCTGCGAGAGAGACAGAGACATGGTCGTCTCGTCGAAGCTGGCCGCCGTCTCGTACACGGCAGGCGGGTCAAAGGCCGGTAGGGACGACGGCAGTGCGTCGTGCACAGCCAGCGAGTGTTCAATGAACTCTTGGGATAAGACGAAGGCTGCTGTCTGCGGTGGTCGTGAAGGCAACGGCGGCAGTGATGGCATTGGAGGCGGCTGAGGCGACGTCGGAGGAAGAGCATTGGGCAGACGGAACGAAAGGGATGCCTCGTCCAGCGAGGAGGGCGCACGACTACCGGTGTCCCGTGTATCGTCTTGTGTCGACGGTTGGGTCGACTCTTGGGTCACCTGTGTCAGATCAAGGAACGCAGCACGGCCGTACAAGTGCCAGACGCTGTCGTTGGTGGCCTGTGGCTGCTCGTTTTGTTCCGTCTTGAGACGAGGCTGCGCAGTCTCCAGCGCCGGACGAGTTTGCGGTCGCTCTGGCGGGGCCGCGCCGGGCACATGGGCCGGCACAACGCGCCACTCGGGGTGACTATGTGGGCCAACGTCTGTGGTATGGATACCGGCCTCCCATGGCCGTACTGTCTCCGTAACGGCCGTCTCCTCTACTGTCGACCAGTCCAGCGAGGCAGCGTCTGGCGCGCCGGCGAGGATGATCGTCTTGCCCATGTTTTGGGCTGAGTAGTGCTGACTGCGGCCTCACATTTCTTTATCATCGTTTTGTAACATCATTAAATTGTGAGAGTCGTATAACTGCCCACGTATCAACGGAAAGAAATGCTCAACCGGCCAAGGCCGTCTGGCCTATTCGACTGAATTTGGTGACAGCGTTGTTATGTTGTGCTGGGACGAGCATTCGCAACCCCTAGATTACTGCTGTATTTCGCAGTTATCGAACCTAGGCGCTATAGTTAGCGCGATTGACGATACGCTGAGACAAAATTTGCGACGCTGTACTACGACATATTTGCCACTGAACTCTCACTATCTTATCTCACTCTTGTCGACACGCATTTTCCTACTTTGTTGCAGCCTCAACATGGACGATTAATCGACAGCTATCCCGGCCCTCAGATCTCCACAGCCGCGTCGCAGTACATAAACTCCACGAGACACTATATTATTCGACCACTACCATGGGTAACGACGGCGGCTCGATCCCGACGCGTCGGGAGCTGGTAAAAAACGCCGCACGGCTCCCAACAATTTCGGAGCTCAAGGCGACGGCGCTGGAGGCGCTGACGCACGCATGGCAAAACGACCCTGTCAGTGGCGATCCAATCGATCTTGACAATGTCGTGTCAGACTGGCGCGGGCGGCTGTACAACTACGAGACGGTGCTGCACGGCCTGATGCCGAGCGCCAGCAGCGACGACCAGGAACGCGACACTCCCAAGGAGTCCAGCGACGACAATGAGACTGCGGCACGCGACCTGACGTTTGCCGACACGGGCATCCGCTCCATCCGCGACGTCGTGCGCCTCCACGGCAAGCCCTACAAGCCGGCATCCTCCAAATCTACAGCCACTCGATGGCAGTGTCCCGTGACGCTCAAGGAGCTCGGCCCCGGCAGCAAGGCCGTGTACGTCGTGCCCTGCGGTCACGTCTTTTCTGACCTGGCCATCGAGACCATCCTGCCGGACAAACTGTGCCCCGAATGTAGCACGGCCCTCGTGGCCGCCCACGTCGTGCCCATTTTGCCCTCTGAGAAGGCTGAACTAGCTAAACTGCGGACGCGCATGGACACGTTGCGAGCCGAGGGACTGACACACAGCCTCAAGAAGGACAAGAGCGCGGGCAACGGTGGCAACAAAAAGAGCAAGAAGAACAAGCGGAAAGCGGGCGCTGATGGAGATGGAGATGGTGATGGTGACGACAAGTCCGGGAACAAGAAGAATGGCGCAAATGAGGGGCACGACAAGACAGATGGTGCGCCTGCTCCCAAGAAGAACAAGAAGGACAAGGCTGCCAGTGCCGACCCCAATGGGATTGCCAGCCGCATTAACAATCCGATGACGGCCTCGCTGACGGCCAAGGTGCTCGCCGAGCAGGAAGCGCTCCAGCGACAGAGAAAGCTGGCCGAGTCAAGGTAGCTCTGACTGGCGGCATGCCCACGCACAGCAGTGACTTTTGTACAAATATACGATAACGATACCCATGGATGATATAAATGTCAAAATAGTAGCAAAAGGCAAACAAAAAACGAGAGAAAAATTGAAACATTTCATATTTTTGTAAATGCTATATAGCACCCCCTCCTCGGGGAAAAGTACAAGCATATATATACGCCAGATTCCTTGTCGACATGCAAACGTAGTACACCCCGTCTATCCTTGAATCGGCCTTTTATCTTAAACAGGTAGGCACAGCGCACGTCGCTTCTACAGCTCGTCCTTTCCAGAGCCGGTGTCGGCAGCCTTGGGCGACTCCTTGCAGGCAGCCGGCGTGCCCACCTCCATCTTGTAGACGCACTTCTCGGCCTCCGTCACGCGCCAGATCTCCTCCTTCTCGGCACAGCTCAGCCAGACGTCCGTCCGCCGGTTGGGGCCGTTCCAGCAGTGCAGGCCGTTCTCGTACCGCAGCACCATGCGCGGGCCCTTGCCCAGGCTCTTGCCGTCGGTGCGCTCTTCCTCGTCCGCCACCTCCGTGTCGACGCGCTCAAACCGGCCCAGGCTGGTGTTACCGTGGCCCTTTTTGGACTTTTGCGTGGCTTGGCCGAGCCAGCAGACCTCGTAGTCGTACTCGCCCACCTCGGTCGTCGTGCACTTGTCCTTGAGCGCCCGGAAAATTTCGTCGGCACCGTAGTCCTTGGTCAGGTCGGCCTCGTCCTCGCGAAGCGAGTTCTGTCGACTGCTGAGGTCGTTCTCGGCGCTCTGCAGCGCGCCGCGTGCGTCCTTCAGAGCCTGCGACTCGTTGGACGCGTCGCTGTTGTCGGCCAACAGGCCGCTCTCGACCAGCCACACACGGAGGGCGGCCAGCTTTTCGTGGAGGTAGAGGCGCACAGACGGTGGCAGATATGCCTCGAAACTGTATACTGCAGAACGGGTGCGTTAGTAAAGGGACAAGGTAGTCGATCCGGAAGCGATACAAAAACAACATCAAAAACATCAAACCAAAACGTACAAACATCCGTGTCCGTGGCGTCGTCCGTCTCAAACGCCTTCCAGTTGACGCCGTTCTCTTCCGAGTCCTCCTTGAGGACGGCATGGACGTCAACGTCATTCAGCTCCGTCTTTTGCTCGCCGGCCGTCTTGGCCGCGTAGTCCTCCCACGCGTGCACGGCAGACTTGACACCTTCGTCGTTAAAGTTGGGGTTGTACTGCTCCTTGAAGTTGCGCAGGATCGTCTCCAGCTCGTCCACCTTGTCCTGCAGGTCGTCGCGGTGGTCCAGCACCTTGTCCAGCGTCTCGCGCAGCTCGTCCACGCGCTGCTTCGCCAGGCTCACCAGCAGGCTCAGCTTGCTGCCCTTCTTGGGCCCGCTGCCGCCATTCTTGACCACCTTGCCGCGCTCGGCACGCTCCGTCTCGGCCAGCTCCCGCTGCAGCCGGTCACGCGTCTTCTCCAGGCCCACAATCTCGCTCCGGAACTTGGCAATCCGCTCCACCACTTGGTTGCGCAGCTGCCGCGCCTCTTGGACCAGCGCCCGCCGCTGCTTCAGTGCCCGCTCCTGGCCCTGCTGCCGCTCCTGCTCGGCCTTGCGGAACGCCTTGCCAATGGCCGCGCACTTGTTTGCACATTTGACGCCGCCCTTGTGCGCGTATTCCTCGCTGCCGTCGCAGCACAGCTCGTAGTCGCAGATGCCGTCGTTGACGTACGAAAAGGGCACGTACGCGCCGACGTGGCCGGCGTTCTCGCACCAGAAACCGGGCAGGGCCGGTGTTGTGTTGGTGGTGCCCGAGGGCGAACCTGGGAGTGGCTGGGGCGGCGAAAGGGGGTCGAGGTAGGCACAGGCGGCGGTGCCAGGCTCGTCCGAGCCGTCGGGGCAGTCACAGGAGCCGTCGTTGACCTGTACAATGTCGAGAACGATGCTGGGGTTGGTGATGCAGGTGAACTTGCTCTTTGCTTCGTAGAACTTGGCGACTGCAGAACAACGTAAACAAAACACAAAATGTTAGCCGGCGCCCACGAACAGCTTGTACCAAGCTGTCATCAACCTCCCATCACCACCGCACTGGTACCCTGATCCACGTACATTCTGGGCTCACGCCTCGCGGAAGGCTAGCTGCAATGGCCACGTTGGAGCTAGCAAAGGCGCCGACCAGCAGAAGGGCCCTTGTTTGCCGCATCGTGAGTTTCGTTTAGGTCGATTTTGCGTTCGTTGTCATGGAGCGTAGCGACGGTAGTCGGTGGCAAGAGAGAGAGAAAAGACGAAACAGAAAAGACAAACAATACAAAGAAATCGAAAAGAAATGGGCGTCAAAAACAAGACGGCACTGGAGACAGTGTGAATTTGAGACGCCAAATGCAAAACGGATACCAAAGCGGCCAAAGACCAAGCTGTCCCTTTTGGCATGCTCCATTGGCCAAGTTGCTGCAGAGAGGCAATCACGTGGGGATCCACCCACTGGAATATGACGATGAGAGACGACCTCAGAGCAGGCTAGCGGACCCCTCAAGCTACGGACAGGGCATATTCCCCGCTGTAATCGTAAAATTTCAGTGCTTATCGCCAACGACATGGAAGCATTTCCTGGAACGAAAGCATCACCACCACTTTGGCGCGACAGACAGAAGAGCCACGACTTTGTTGCAGTACACGATCTTTGTCTAGACTACACAGCTTCCGAACTATGGCGCCACCAAAAGCCGCTGTCGACAGCGCCGCCGTCGTGGCCCTCAACACAAAGATCGACAACGCGCTTGAGCTGATTGCACAGATGCTTGTTCTCGTCCGAGACGTATATTCCGACGCCAGGAGGCAAAAGGAGGCGATTTCCCAGAAACCGATTTCATCAGATGCCTCCTCGTCCTCTTCTCCTGTCGCTTGGGACCCCCCATCCAAGTGCGAAGCCCTCAGCCTCGCCCGTGACGCCGCAACCCTCGCTCGCGCCCACGGCACCAAGATTTCCTTGCTCATGATCAACGAGCCCTTTACACCCTCTGCTATCCAAAAGGTCGTCACCGAAATGGGCGCACCACTCGTGTCCCTCGCGACCGCTGCCTCCGAGTGCTACGGCGACCGATACACGAACCACGTGCGGCAAGAGCTGGCACGGCGGTGCGCCAGCGTGCTCGAGCAAATGCAGCACCTTCTCAATGCCATCCCGCGCGACGGCCGCGTCGTTCCCGAGGCGCAGCGCGTGGGCGGTGCCGGCAGCGGCGGCAGCAGCAGCCGGACGCAGTCCAAGGCCATGGCGGACCGTGGCAGCTACACCAAGATCGGCATCCTGTGGGCCGAGTGCGACGCACTCGTCGCGTTTGCCAACCGGGGCATCGACGGGTACCTGGTGCAGGTGGTCAACCAACTGGCCGACCAGCTCAAGGACGAACAGGAGGAGCTTCGGGAGTGGGGCGATGAGGAGGAGGGCGACGACGACATCGACGGCGGCGGCGAGGGCGCCAACTTGGACGATGCAAACGTATCGGACAGCGGCTACGACGACGACGAGGATGGCGGCAACGGCGATGGGGCCCTGAACGACAACGAAGCCGCGCAGGCCATGCTCGAC